ATTCTCTTGACTGCAAAAAGATGAGTAGTACGGGAAGCATGCATAAACTGAGACACCAAGTGTACTACATAAGTAATATCTGGCCGTGTAAAAGTTAAATATTGCAACGCAATTGACCGGGCTAAACTTGCAAGTGTACAAATGCTGATATAGTAATAAATTCCGGTAAAATATCGGGTCGAATCCACAAGGAAACATTGTTTAATTCAAGTCCGTAAATAGATAACTTTGAATGAAAAATGAGTAAAGTGCAGGGATTTTGATTTGTGTTTTATATTTTTGGTTTTTTCACTTTTTGTTCGAGAAGATAATCGTTAACTAATTTTGAGTTTAAGATGAATAATAACAACAACTAAGGCTTCAAGAATCACTTAAATGCTTTAATAGGGTTGAATATTAGTTCTTTGCCAATAATTATGAATACGATGTCGCTAATATATTCTCAACTCCGGTTAAGGCAGCGAGAGCGTGGTTTTCGTTACGTGTAAGTCCCGTTAGGCTTACATTCATCTATCGAAAACCCCGTTGAATATCAAGATATCACACTCGTATCATATAAGACCGGATATATTTATATTCTCGGTACTATATATGTTTATCCTTTAATGTTCATAGTTTAGACTTCAACGTTAATTGCAAGTATAAACTAAATTTAACATACTTCTATGTTGTACACCATAGTCATAAACAATCAATATATAAAGGATAAATCACAATTTATTGGTTTAGAACTTTTATCAAACACCTAGTGAGCATGGAAGTTCATCCCTAGCCTTAGCTAAGAAATTAGCTACTAATGCTCATATTAATTACAAAAGTGTAACTAAGAACAAGGAAATACAATAACATACAAGAAAAATTACCTAGAACCAATTGTAGAGGAGAGAAATGGCTCCCTGCAATTGAAGAACAATTGCAAGAACAAAATATAAAAACTAAGAATTAATCTGTGGAATGTGATGTGTTTGAATGATGAATTGAGGGCTTTATATAGGCTAAAGAATGACATCTTTTAGTCTATTCGAGGCCAATAATTTGGTGTGGAGCAATATTTGGTCAGATATGGAGGAAGATGAGTTTTTTCCCATCAACAATCTTCTGCACGTTGGACTATTTTAGCAGAAAATCGGCCTAACCAGTGCCGGTTGTAGCATGTCCTGCGTCGGTCAGGTGTAAAAATGCATCGGTCGTTCTGCGCCGTTTTTAAACAGGCGTGAATTGGGAAAAAATCCCAATGATCGGTGCCAGATGTTTGATGACCGGCGCTGGTTCTTGCGCCCAATTTTGTACTACGTTTCTTTTCCTCATTTGGTGCTCGAAATTGATCCAGAAGTGCCGGTTTTCGACCCCTTTTGACTTTTGATCCTATTTTTGTTGTTCCAAGCCGTATTTCATGTTTTCACTCCCTCAGGAATATTTGTCTGTTTTCGCTTTATAGTTTTGTACAGATAAATATAATTACCTATGTAAAACACAAGTAATTATTGTGCTTATCAGCACCTACCATGCTGCGATACTCTGTGGAATCTAAAAGCAACTCACCATCAGACAGAGATAAGGTGGTGCGAGACGCTAGTGGTGTGCGAACGGGTTTAACCGTATGGAGATGAAAACGTTTGAGAAGATCAGAAATATATTTAGTTTGAGAAAGAAAGAGACCTTTACTAGTTCGACGTAACTCGATGCCCAGGAAGTAATGTAAGTCACCCAGATCCTTCATAGCAAAGTGATTAGAAATAATAGAAATAAGCTGGGTAATGTGGATGGAGAATTACCAATAATAATAATATCATCTACATATAATAATAAATAAATGATAGAATTATTATGGCGATAAATGAATAAGGAGTTATCACACTTACTACAACAGAATCCTTGTTGTAGAAGAAAGCTACTGAATCTATGAAACCATGCCCGTGGTGCTTGCTTAAGTTCATAAATGGCCTTACACAAACGACAAATGTGATTAGGAAATTGAGGATGTATAAAACCACGTGGTTGACGCATATAAACTTCCTCAGTAAGATGGTCATGTAAAAATGCATTTTGACATCAAGTTATCGAATGACCCAACCAAAAGACACAACAAGAGTGAGAACGATACGAACTGTGGTGGGTTTAATAACAGGACTGAAGGTTTTAGAGAAATCGATCCCAGCCTGTTGATTAAATCCCTGAGCAACTAATCGAGCTTTATGCCGCTCTACTGACCCATCAGAATGATATTTAGTTTTATAAATCCACTTACATCCAACTATATTCTTAGAATTGTCAAAGGGCACTAGATCCCAAGTATTATTATTGATGAGAGCATTAAATTCATCAGACATAGCTTCACATCATTTTGTCTGTTTATTAGCCTTAGTAAAGCACGTAGGATCTGCTGAATTAACAACTGTACTCAAAGTAAAAATGGTTTTTGGTTTAAAAATTTCCGCTTTAGCACGGGTTTGCATGGGATGCATGTTTACCACCGGGGGTGGAGAGGAGCCGGCTGGTGCGGAACTAGGGGTGGTAGGATCATGGCTTGGAGAGGTGGGGGTACTTGGTGCAGGAAGGTACGAGCTAACAGTATGGGAAGTCGGGAAGGCTGGACAACTGGGTATTGAGGTGGGGGTGCTCGGGTTTGACTCAGAGGAGGCTGGACTGGTTGAGGCTAGTGGAAGGGATCTGTCCGGATTGGCATCGGTAAATGGTGACCGAGAGGCATGAGACGGGCATATGGTTGTCGGAGGAGGGAGAGATAGGCTGGACACTAAAGACATCGGGGAAGTAGGATGGTGTTCATCATTAGGTAAGGAGCAAGGCGGGACAGTAGGACGAGACTGAGAGAGGGTTTTGAAGGGGTAAATGTCCTCATGGAACCTAACGTGACGGCTAACATAAACACGACCAATAAGAAGATCAAGACAACGATAGCCCTTATAACCAGATGCATAGCCAATAAAAACACACTGAACAGATCGGGGAGATAATTTGTTTGCTGAGGTGGTAGAAAATTTTGGGTAACATGCCGAACCAAAAACTCGCATAAATGAATATTCGGGAGCCCTTTGAAATAATATTGGTACGGTGAGAGACCATTTAAAATGTGAGAAGGTAATCGGTTAATAATATATGCAGTTGTAAAAATTGCATCAACCCAGAATGTACTCGGTACCGAAGCTTCAATACGCATGGTTCGAGTTAATTCTAGGAGATGACGATGCTTGCGTTCAGTAACCCCATTTTGTTGAGGTGTGTCACGACAAGAATTTTGAAAATAAATTCCATTGGAGGAGAAAAAAGTGCTGCATATTGTGATTAACAAATTCACCCTCTCCATCACTTTGAAAAATTTTAATTTTCTGATTAAAAAGATTTTCAACCAAAACTTTAAATTTTTTAGGCGAATTTGACACTAATAATCCGTACTTTTACACATTTTACAAAAATAATTCCTACTCATAAATTTCACAAAAATAATCCCTACTAGTTACTTGTTTCACAAAAATAATCCGATTTTGACGGTGTTAACTTTTCCGTTGTTTTTTTAAGTTTTGAATATATCAAACCAAAAATATGTATAAAAATTAATAATATTATATTAGAGTTTAATCTTTTCCTACGATAAACTAATATATTTGAGTTTAATTCAATATTCTACATAATTGTATTACTCCCTCCGTCCCGCTAACAATGGAACAAGAGGGAGTGACACACAAATCAATAAAAAGTTGATTTATGTGGTTGATATTGAATTGATAAAGTAAGAATAAAGTAAGAATGATTTAGAGCCACACAAACTTTGTCAAATTTGGTATGGGACAATCTTAGTGGGACGGACCGATAAGGTAAAACGGGACAATCATAGCGGGATGGGGGTAGTAATATTTAATGTATTATTACTAAAACTACTTCGGAATCTCTATTATAATGAAAAACAAAAATGAATCTTAATAAAATATGGATAGGGAATGAAAGAGAATAGAGAATTTGAAGAGTATTATGTTTTATGAAAAACATTTCTATTATGTTTTATGGAAATATTGAATATTAAATTATTATTTTTAGTAGAAACAAGATTAAACTCAAATATAGTAGTGTCAATGTTTAGATATATTTTTGATTCAATATATTTAAAATAAAAAAATAACGGAAAACTTAAAAAACATTGGCGAAATTGATACCAATAATCTCCACTTTTACACATTTTACAAAAATAATCCCTACTTGAAAAGTTCACAGCAATAATCCCTACTATTTAATTGTTTCACAAAAATAAACCGAGTGCATACGGTGTTAAGTTTTCCGTTATTTAGTTGCAAATAACGTTTAGTTGCAAATAATAGTTATTTAGTTTGTCTCTAACTTTCACACAATTTAGTCATAAAACTAGTATTCTTATAAAGGCAATTGGTACAACAAATAAGAAACATTAAATGATTTTGTAGAAAGTGGAACAACCATTCAAATTAAAGATTGTTTGAAGCGAAAAAAGAAACACAAAAGTAAAAGAAACAAAATTGACTTTGTGCTTCATGATTTAATTTGACACAATTATTAATAAAATGGTTGAATAGTAAAATTTGTGGTTGAGATTTGATAAGATAAAGTAAAATGATAAGGGGCACATATTTCTTACCAAAAAAGGAAATAAGACATTAATTTTGGGACAACCCAAAAAGAAAAGAAAGATAACCAAAATGAGACGACGGGAGTATTTTTTAAAATGAGAATATTTTTTCTAACATAATTTGTCCAAGTGATTTACATACCACCTAATTGAGTAATATAAATAAATTTATTGAATAGCTGATTAAGTATCTGAATTTAATTTTTAAAGTTCGTTAACATCAAGTGGGCGTGCCGGAGTGGTTATCGGGCATGACTAGAAATCATGTGGGCTTTGCCCGCGCAGGTTCGAATCCTGCCGCTCACGCTTCTTTTTTTGTTTCTGTATTCTTTACTTCTTAGAGTATATATATTACTCTTTTTTTTTTTTTTTTAATTTTCAGTCTTGATCTTCCATTAAAGTCAGACACCAACGTCCACGGAACTCAACGAATATACAGCCAAGGGACGGCATCACTGACGTTTTCCCGTTTCATTTCTGAAGGCTTCGCTGATAGATTTATAGATCGAACAAACATTTGGATTACATATTTGTATCACGAGTAGTTCTCTGATGAAGCCCACCAACCGATTTTATAGAAGGGAATGAAAAGGTCGAAAATTATCAGCTCAATTGTTTTACTTTCAGTCCCGCTGCGATTTCATGGCATCAACAAGCAAAAACTCGACCCCACTGGATGAGGATCATGGAGAGGCGGTAGAGTGCCATTCATTCGCCATCTCCTTTCCGTTTGTGTTTTAGAAGAAATATAAACTTCAGCTTGTCTCCATTTGAAGTGAATGCTTAAGAATTATGTAACATCCAATCAAGTAAAATGTTGACTGATTCACTAACATGTCTTCATATAGAAGGGTGCAATCTACTTGAGTACATGATATTTGCAGTTCATAGAGTGCATGGTGATCATGATTAGTCATATGGTCTAACCCATTATTTTTGCAGTTTGAACATTTTGATGATTTCACTTTGGCATCTTCATGGGAAAGGTACTACATTTCTTCAAAGTTGTCCCGATTTACTGCTTTGTGTGATGAGTCTGGTTGTGCATTAAGGAGTCAAATAGTCCAACCTTACTTTGATATAGGCTCATATCTGAGGTAGAGGCGATTTGCAGACAATGGCTTGCTGATGGCCCGAGAAACTTATTGGTATGAATATATGATTGGTTGGGGGCTTCCTTATTTGACCTTTCTGTGGAGTTTTGTTTTGGATTCTTGTCCTGCTCATTTATACAGTTCTAAATGAACTATACAGACATTTAAAGTATACATTGAAGGGAAAATAACATCACATGATTTATTTTTCTTCAGGATCTATTATTTCAATGCATATGACTTAGATATAATTCTTATATGGGTTATATGAAGTAATCTGGAATTCTTAAATCTTTCCTTGATGTTGAATACCATTTCTCATTATTTTTCTCACAAAAAAATATTTGGCATCTCTTAGATAGTGTAAAGCTAATTTGAATTGCTATTGTCAATTTTATTTATTCTGTGTTTTTCAATTTTCTTTTTATTACATTTTAAAAGAAGAAGGATGCTGTTCCGTTGGAAGCCCCTGAAGGACTTCATAAGGTCAAATCTGAACTTAAGTGTGCTACTAAAAGCTATCTGATGGAGTACTATTTTGAAACAAATAGTGATGGTATGCACATGTTCCATTAAAATATCCAACTCAAAAGGTTTAGTCCTTTCTTCTACCATAACTTAAATTCAATTCAATCTAGGAAAACTGAGTGATTGGACTCATGTGCTGCATGGTTTGCAGCTCTCCTTTGGGGTAAAAAACTTTCTGGTATCTCTCTTAACTTCACTCACTGCTACAATTTACATACTCACTCTGTGCATGTCACTTCTTGAACTTTAAAGAGAATGATATTCAATCTTTAGGTGATTGCTCCCCAAAGTGCAAGTGGTGTGCTTCTTGATAGACCAGAGGCCACCAAGCTGTTAAGTGCAGTTGCTATTGCACTATCCAACTGTTCCAGGTTGGTCACGGTGGAATGACTTCATGGGGAAGGGTTTGGGGGGGGGGGAGGGGGTTAAGAGGCCCACAAAGTCTAACTTTTTTCTTAAGATTTTTTTTCCAAAGTATGTAATGTTTTGCAAAGCAGATGATTATTTTGACCTGCAAACTGCAGTTCATGGCCCGCTTTTGTTCCAGTTCATGATCCATCTCGTAAAGCTTTCATTGGTATTCAGAATGTGGATACACATCTCACAAGAAGATTTGAGGCTGACCGTATAGGTAGTCAGGTTCCTGTGACGCTATTGCACTATGAGGGATTATTTGAGCTATTTGTTTCAAAATTTGTAAGTAATGCTCCATTCAGAATTTTAACGTTGGTGTAAGATTTTACAACTTTCGGTTTGCTAATGCTTTGTTTCTTTGTTTTAGTAATTTCTGAAAACCTCTTTCTGCTATGACCTTACTCATATGTTCTTTTGTCTTTTACTTTAACTTATGAAAATAATTTTGAGAGTGATTCATTTATATCTCCTATGTAAACTACTTGGTTTTCTGAGGGTGATCATGAATGGCCAATCCTTAGTGCTATCACGGTATCACCTCTGCTGTTTTAATCATATACCTTTCCTGTGATTAGTTTCATGAGGGGCATGTGTTTCTATGACAAGCCTTAGGGTGGTTCACCTCTCAACTGAAGAAACAATTCATAATTCTATCTGTTATGACAAAGTTCTAAATTGAGAAATCATCTTTTATCAAATGGCACCTAGAAATTCAAATAGAAATGTGTATGATGTTTTTGCAAGTGGATATAATGTATTCTGTGCGTATTTTGAAGAATTATGAAGAAACAATTCATAATTCTATCTGTTATGACAAAGTTCTAAATTGAGAAATCATCTTTTATCAAATGGCACCTAGAAATTCAAATAGAAATGTGTATGATGTTTTTGCAAGTGGATATAATGTATTCTGTGCGTATTTTGTATCCAATAAAAACGAAACTACATTAGGCCAGGCAGTCTCAGTAAACGGTTTATTTTTTGTTGTTGTATAATTACATGTGTGCATTACGTGTGTCCTCATATTTATCACTACATTAGTACTGACAAATACCACTCTTTGTGCATGGTTTGCTCCAAACTTTCATGCTCAAGGCCTTTAATACGGATTTGTCAGAGCATCTTTTCAAAGTGAACCTCAAGGTTAAGCTGACCTACAAGTCGCTTCCCAGTGATGATGAAGATGATACCCAAGAAAATGATGCTGAAATACTAGAATCTGATGAGGGTCCTAAAAACTACAGACATAACAAGACACAATGGGATGATGATTGCCCTTGGAGTGAATGGTACACAGTTGAGGACCCAATAAAGGGTACATTTTCCTCTGATATTTTCATCTTTATTTACTTGATATGCTGAATATTTTTTATGTTTCTCAACTTTTGGCATCTTTGGTCTGGTCACAATTACTTAAATACAATTTACTTGTCACATTGACTTATAGAGTTATATGTAGCTTATTAGCTTATATGTGGGTACATTTGTTGAAGCTTCATTTTGAGGCCAACGGAGGCCGGCTAATCTAGATTATCATCATTCACCTGAACTTATAAATTGTAATTTTCAGTTAACTAGATCAGATGGATTCTGGACTATGCAAATTATAGTGTATTACCCATTCTCTTCTAACTGGGTAACAATGGAATTTGTACTTTGCAGTTAACTAGATCACATGATTATGATCTACAAATTTTTAATGTATTACCCTATATCATAAGATTCATGGTAGCCTTTTTATTTATGCTGTTGGATCTATTGGATAATATCATATATTTCCATATCCTTTTGGTGGTGCATGACATCTATTCTCTGAGTTACTTGTTGCAGGAATTGAATTGTATGCTCTATGGCCTGAGACAACAGTTGGAAGCTCTGCAGATATGGCGGAATTGGAAAATGCTTCACCCTTTGAGGCTGAGAAGTGGTTGATATCTCCAAATTTATCTGAAGCTCTGTAAGACACTATCTTGGTACAGTTGCAAATTATTGTGATATTTCCTATCTTATCCAGACAGACGGAACTGCTATAGTGAAATCTGCAATCGAAGTTCTGAAGGATGGTACATATAAATTATAACATGGTGATATCCTATAAAATAATTAAGGTTTTCAAGTACTATGATATTATCTGGAACATTGCATTTTTGTGCTCTAATATATATATATATATATATATATATATATATATGTGTGTGTGTGTGTGTGTGTGTGTGTGTGTGTGTGTGTGTGTATATGTGTGTGTGTATATACATATATGTATATATATATGATTGCTATAATCTGAGGGCAATGCATTGTTGTGGTTGGCTTACTACTCATCTTACATATTTGTAGAGCAAACCTATATTTGTAGAGCAAGTTACCCAATCTCACTTCATGCTAGTTTATTTTCTTGATTTCTATTTTAGAAAAAAAAATGCGCAGCCACATTACATGTTTTAATATCCTACTTGGAATTGCCTCACATTCTTGTTGTATCTCTTGATAATTAACCTTGATGTTTGGCAATTGAACTTTTCATACTTCTCTGGAATATGTTGTAATTTAAATTTCTGCTTCATACAGCAGAAATAATGGGAAAAGCATTGGATTTGCATCACAGTTGCATTGTTTAGTTGCTGCTCTGGATAAGTCGTTTCAGGCTCAATTCATAGAAGATTTTGTGTCAGGTATGAAAATGTGTGGGTTGCAAACATTAGAATTTTATTATTTATATCTAACTGTTTTTTTGTAAATCTGCATGTCGTTAAGTTAGAAATTACAACTTACAGTGATCTTATTAAGATCACGTGTGCATGACTGAGCAAGAGAAGGGAAGAGATGGGTTGTTGGGTGTTGGGAGATCTATGATTCAAACCAGACTTAAGAAAAATGAAAGAACGCTTGATTCATAATTAATCTGGTGTCCGTCCTTGTCAAGATACGTTAGAATTAATTCTCCCAAAAGTAGTTTAATAAATGAACGGAGAACCTCTATATATAGCTATTACAAGAATCCAAAACAGAGGGAAATATAGTTCTAGTATAAATGATTCAAAAAGAGAACAGCTAAAACTGAACTCAGAAAGATGTAAATTAATTAATTATATTTGCTCCTCAAATTAGCCACTCTTGGTGGTTTCCTTGGGCTGAATTTCTCAAGGTTCATCACCCCTTTGGCCCAAACGGTTCCTTCAATATTTTTAGCCCCAGAATTTGTCCATCAACAGTATGACGACTTTGATCTTTGATTTGCTTTTCTGGCAGTTGAGAAGTCTGGCTCTGAAGGTGTAAAATCTACTGCTGTCGTACCTCCACCAACAGTTCTCGATCGTGTGCTAAAAGATCTTTTTAATGAGGGTACATAAACGTTCTTCTTAGATATGCACTATTTTTCAGTTTTTGGTTACAGAAGATGTTTGGTTGTCAAAGAGTGATAAGTTTTGTTGCACTTGGTATCTGTTTAATGTTAGTCGCTTTGACATGGAGCAGACAAACTTGGTGTGAATCTACTTTTTATCTCATGTAGAACCATGCCAGATTGTGCTGTCAAAACTCAAGTTGGAGTTTTGTGGCTAACCTTTAGTTGATGGCACATGATTTACTTTATTAAGTTTAAATCTTGGCCGTCCTTTCCCAGTTTTGACTTTGATTTTGTTTATACTGTAGCTAACCAATTACGGTGCTTTCGGAAAAAGTGAGCTGTAATGCTTTTAATTGTTTACATATTTTATTGTTATATTACCTCTGTTTTTTTTTTTTGAATTTCAGAAGTTAAACCTTGATAAATGAAGGGGGTTCTTATTTTCTTTTTGTTCGACTGTGTTAATTAGTTGATGATGTGCAACTTGGTTCCCCTGAAGACGAGCATAAGAGTTCTCGAGCCATCAAAGGGGCCCCTCTTCAATCTCTTTTTGCACAGTTCTGTCTTCATGCTCTATGGTTTGGAGATTGCAATATACGGGGTATTAATTATGTTTCTTGTGTTGCTAGAGTTGTTTCCTTAATAAAATAAGTCTTCTTTTGACTATTTATTGATAGGTTATTCTTACTGCTTAGTTTATTTTAATGAATCAGTTATTTACTTATTTAGTTTACTTATCTACATATATGCTTTTGCAAACCTTTTTGTTAAAACATACCCCCCCCCCCCCTCTGCCGTTTTGTATAACTTTTCCCCAGCTATTGCTGTACTCTGGATAGAGTTTGTAAGAGAAGTTCGTTGGTTTTGGGAAGAGTCACAACCATTGCCCCGAATGCCAGCAAATGGTGTAATTGACTTATCAACTTCTTTGGTTAATCAGAAACTGCACATGGTAAGTCCGTGATTTCTATAACTGGTCTCTCTCTATATCTTGTTTATAGTATATATTTATAGTTATAAACAGCTGGGTTCTTGTTCAATCAAATAAATATGTACGTCCTATGTTTTGTTGCTGTTGCACTATCTCAAACTCCCTTCCTTCCATGGATGCACACATGTGTAGGTAGATAAAAACTCTTAGATTACTTGAAAATTTAAGACCTAAGGTTCTGTTTGAAGGGAGGGGTTTGGAAGGGAGGGTGTAGTCTAAACTATGTTAAAAGATCCAACCTGAATGGAATGACCAAGAAAGTGGTGACCCATTCACAAAGTTGTGCATGCTACCTTAACCCACAAAAGGACAAATTTTAAAAACCCACCCAGTGCAAACCTGGCCTGGACTAGGAACCGCTAAAAACTGGTCGTGCCTTAAACCAACTATCGAGAAGATTAAAACTTTGTTTTGGAACATTAGGTGTATTCTCGATATTTATTACGAGCAATAACTATTGGTTATGAAGTTTAATAATTTTCTTCATTTAGTTTGATACACTCCCTCTTTAACATGCTAGTTTGAATGGCACAAAGTTTAATAAAAAGAAAATTGTGAGTGGATAACTTACGGAGGGAGGTGGTATAATTATATTATTTTTTATTTATTGTTGAACGTTACCATGCTGACCAGCATTGATAGATTGACCTCGTGACCCAGTCACTTGAACAATTTCTTGATCAGATTCTGAAAACATAAGAGTTCATATAACATTTCAATAACCTTCTACTACCTCCGTCCTAAATTAATGGTGACACTTCGTTTGGGCTCTTAGATTTAGAAAATGGTATAAAATGCCTAAACTATCCTTTACTTTTACTGTAGCAATGAAAAAGTGAGTAAAAAATGGAATGACAATGATAAGAACAGTTCGCAATTCACACAGTAAAACGAACTAGAAAACAACTCCAAACTTCATTAATGGCGGTACACAGTACAGTAGTCCCAAAGCTAGAGATAGAACTCTAACTTCCCAGTCCCAAGCCAAGCATCTAACAGCCTGCCTAACTTCTAACTGGTTTATTCTATTTATAGTCCCAACTCCCTAACTATAAGTAGTTAATAGTTCATAACAACTATCTGCCAGCCAAAAACAGATAAACTACTTCTTCTTTCTAGAATAGACTAAGCCATATCTATTCTTATTATTTATAATAGCCGGGGTCCTATCAATACTCCCCCCCAAAGAAACAAGCTTGTCCTCAAGCTTGAAGTCTGGAAACTGTGTCTTCAACACTTGAGCATCTTCCCAAGACCTTTCAAATTCTGGCAGGTCTTCCCAATGTATCAAAACTTCAGTTCTGCCATCAGTTCCCTCCCTTGTATCCACCACCTTCTCTGGCTTCACCAGCAATTCCCAGTTTTCACTCAAACATTTAGGCAATGGTTGACAGCAAGTATTGGAAGCTAGAACTTTCTTGAGTAAAGAAATATGGAATACTGGATGGATCAGGCAATCATCTGGCAATTTCAGTTTAAAAGCTACAGCATTCACCTTCTCAATGATCTCAAAAGGTCCATAAAACCTTGGACTCAATTTCTGATTGATTCTCTTAGCAAAACTCTGCAGTTTATAAGGCTGAATCTTCAGGAAAACTTTTTCACCCACCTCCAACTTCATTTCCCTCCTATGTTTGTCCGCTTGCTGCTTCATCTTATTCTGGGCAATAGCTAAATTTTCTTTGAGTTCCGCTAACATTCCATTCCTCTCAGCTGTCAGTCTTGACACTTCATCATTAGCAGTCATAACCACATCCCCTTTTACAATGGTTGAGGTTCTTGCCCATATAAAGCCTGGTAAGGGGTTTGTTTTAAGGAAATATGGTAATTAGTATTGTACCAATACTCTGCTCAAGGTAACCACTTGGTCCATTCCTTAGGTTTCTTCCCTGTGATACATCTCAAATAGGTCTCTAAACACCTATTAACAACCTCCGTTTGGCCGTCTGATTGAGGGTGATACGCAGTACTGTATCTCAACTGTGTGCCAGCCAGTTTGAATAACTCAGACAAAAATGAACTCAAGAAAATGCCGTCTCTATCACTCACTATGGATTTTGGAAATCCATTGAGTCTAACTACTTCTTTGACAAACATTTCAGCTACTCCTTTAGCATTAAATGGGTGAGACAAGGCTATAAAATGTGCAAATTTGGTTAATCTATCAACCACAACCAGAATAGTGTCTTTCCCTTGAGCTTTTGGCAATCCACCAATAAAATCCATGCTTATATCAGTCCAAATGCAATCTGGAATAGGTAATGGTTGTAACAACCCTGCAGGTTTCAAGGCCTGATACTTGTTTCTTTGACAAACATCACAATTCTGCACATATTGTTGTATCTGCTTCCTCATACCCACCCAATAGAACAGTGTTGAGATCCTCTTCATAGTTCTGAAATTACCAGAATGCCCTCCCGTTGCAGAATCATGATATTCCAGAAGAATCCTTGTCACTGTTGGGGAATTTTGGGGTATCATCAGCCTTCCTTTGTAGTATAACAACCCCTTCTTCAGTCTGAAATCCGCCATATGATCCGGATGACTTAGAATCTTCTGAATAATATCAGCACACTTTGGATCTTCCAGCAGCTCATCTTCTAATCCTTCCCACTCCTGACAATTTACAATTGATAAAGCTGAAAAATTTGATTTCCTTGACAGAGCATCTGCCGCTTTATTCTCACATCCAGGTTTATATTTAATGATAAAATTGTATCCCATTAGCTTGGCAATCCACTTTTGTTGATCCTCTCCCATGATTCTTTGCTCAGTCAAGTATTTGAGGCTTCTTTGATCAGTGTGAACCTCAAATTTCCTGCCAAGTAAGTAGGGCCTCCACTTTTGGATTGCAAACACAATTGCCATCAACTCTTTTTCATAAACAGATTTACTCAAATGTTTAGGTGCTAGTTCATTGCTCAAAAAGGCAATGGGACCCCCATCTTGCATAAGTACTGCCCCTAACCCCCTTCCAGATGCATCAGTTTCTACTACAAAAACTTTATTGAAATCAGGGATTCTCAACACTGGTAAAGAAGACATAGCATTCTTCAACTCAGCAAAAGCTTTCGTAGCCATATCACTCCATTTAAACCCATCCTTCTTCAGCAATTGTGTTAATGGAGCAGCAATGTGACTATAGCTCTTGACAAACCTCCTGTAGTATCCAGTAAGACCCAAAAAACCCCTCAACTCCTTTAAATCTTTTGGTACAGCCCACTCTACCATGGCCTTAGTTTTACTAGGGTCAGCTGCCACCCCTTCTGCAGAAATGATATGACCCAAATAACTCAGTTTCTCTTGACCAAAGGAACATTTCTTCTGATTTGCTACCAAGTCATTCCTCTTTAAAGCGTCCAGGACTAATTTGAGGTGTTCTTTATGATCCTCCTTGGTTTTGTTGTAAACCAGTATATCATCAAAGAATACCAAGGCAAATTTCCTGAGAAAAGGTCTCAAAACTTCATTCATTAGAGCCTGAAATGTTGAAGGTGCATTAGTCAACCCAAATGGCATGACTAGGTACTCGTAATGACCTTCATGTGTTCTGAAAGCAGTCTTACAGGTATCACTCTCCTTCATTCTTATTTGGTGGTAGCCTGACTTCAGATCCAGTTTAGAAAAAACCCTTGCTCCCCCCAATTCATCTAGCAACTCCTCTATAACTGGTATGGGAAACTTATCAGGTATTGTGATCTTATTCAGGGCTCTATAATCACCACAAAATCGCCAACCACCATCTTTTTTTCTGGCCAATAAGATAGGACTGCTGTAGGGACTATTACTGTGCTTAATGATACCAGCTTTTAACATTTCACCAATTACTTTCTCTATCTCATTTTTCTGATCAAAAGTGTACCTGTAGGGCCTCAGATTTGGTATACTAGCTCCTTCTTGGATGTTTATGGCATGGTCACAATCTCTGGCAGGAGGAAACTTCAACTGATTAGTAAACACTTCTGGAAATTCAGCAATGATGTCTTCCCAAACCTTGGCTTCCTTAGTATTCTGTTCCAAACCATACAACTGCCCTTCATAATAAAGAAAATATCCATCTCCTTCTTTCTGCAGAAGATGAAGCATTGTTTTCACTGGAACCTCCCAATTATTCAGTGCTGCTTCCCCTTGGATACAATTTATCCTTTCTTGTTGTTTCCATCTTATTACTTGCTTCTGAAAATTCACTTCCATGTCGCCCAACTCAGTTAGCCATGCCATACCCAAAACAATATCTGTGCCACCCAATTCCAGAATATAATATGATTGATGTATGGTATTTCCTTGCACTTCCAGCTTCATTCCATCACATCTGCCATTATTATGGATGAGATCCCCATTGCCAATCTGCACTTTAACTCCTTGTATAGGCATAAAAGGTACCCCCACATGTCAATGAAACCGTGCACTATGAAATTGTGTGTGGCTCCACTGTCAATCAGAATGTTCACAGGCTGTTTCCCATCAAGCCAATTCAACACACCTTGCACCTTGAATGTTTTCATGGACGGAGTACCCTCCTTACTTAAAACAGAAAGTTGCATTGTTTTATGTTGTTTATGAGTATCTCCCTCTTCAGAATGTTTATGAGATCCCAGTAATTCCCCTTGAGATTTATCTTCTCCTTCAGACTGTTCCACTAGAATCATCTTATAGTTCTTCATCTTACAGATGTGACCCTTGCTCCAGTCCTCTCCACACTTAAAACACAAGCCTCTCCTACTTCTTTCTTGCAGCTCACTCCTGGTTAACCTGGGACCAGATTTACCCATAGTAGGTGCCTTTATGTCAGTGTTGCTTCTATAATCTGAGTTACTCTTTGGCAGGTTAGAGTTACTGTTAGTCATACTTTTCTATCTGCTTTCCATCTTCGCTCGCGTCACGGTCATCCAGCGATCAAACGCGCTCTGATACCAATGATAAGAACAGTTCGCAATTCACACAGTAAAATGAACAAGAAAACAACTCCAAACTTCATTAATGGCGGTACACAGTACAGTAGTCCCAAAGCTAGAGATAGAACTCTAACTTCCCAGTCCCAAGCCAAGCATCTAACAGCCTGCCTAACTTCTAACTGGTTTATTCTATTTATAGTCCCAACTCCCTAACTATAAGTAGTTAATAGTTCATAACAACTATCCGCCAGCCAAAAACAGATAAACTACTTCTTCTTTCTAGAATGGACTAAGCCATATCTATTCTTATTATTTATAATAGCCGGGGTCCTATCAGACAAAGTTGTAGATTTAAGTTAAAGGAAGGGTAAAGTATGAATGTTATGTAGGATCATTTGCTAAAAAAGGAAACATAACCTTTACTTTGGGACAGCCCAAAAAGAAAATACATAACTTTTATTTTGGGGTGGAGGGAGTATTAATAAATTTTAGAAACAATTCATCAGGATACAGATTATCCCTCCTCTCCAAACCCTCCATCCGAACAAGTACTTCACTTTTCATTTACCCAAAGCATGAAGGATGAAAAATGTACTCTTTGTATATTTCAACATTATGAACAAATTAGTTGAAATTGAGATGAGAGTGAGACCGAAAAGGACCGCTTCAAAATGAAGAGTTGCTATAAGTTGCTTGTTGTGAGATCTTCAAACATTCTGTACTCTTGTAAATTTGTAAGTATCATGTTGTCCATTCTTTCGCAAGTTCTAGTATGGTGTGTGATGGGATCTGGTTATTTTGTAATAGAAAGTAAATCTGTGTCTACCTATTTATTTTCCGTTATACCAAACATTTTGATTTTTGGTGGAATATTATCAAATTTATCTTAAATCCACTCACTTTCCATGGAATTAAATCAGTAATTCAGTAAATGAAATGAGGGAAATGTGAAAGCCGATTCCCCTGGAAGTCAAGGAAATTCTTTTTGACCATTTTGTGGAAAAAGTGAACGTTTATTGTTTATGCTGTTAAGTCATCATTCCAATAAATAAAAAATAATAAATATGTATATTATATGTATGTAACATTCACTATGCGTATTGGTTTCCAGCTTGCGATTTGCATAAGTAAGAAACAGCAACAGAACCAAAGGCATCATGAAGAAGTTGAAAACCATGATATGCTTCATGCTCGTGTAAAGGTAGTATGTCCTCATTTATTTTGTTATCCACAGGAAAATTAATATTTTTTCCATAAAAGACTATTTAAGAATTTTTATGCCCAATTTCTTAACAAGAAAGTTATAACGCAAGTGAAGTGCAGGAAGATAATGATGACCAGAGTGAGGTATATTCTGAAGGAGTCATGCATGATTCTCTTGGGGAACGTAAGAGGTGAAATGCAAGTGAGAACTTTTATGTAATTTATGTTGATAGCTACGTTGCTAACCAATCTTGTTTTTATCCACTTAGTTACTCTTCCTGAAATTATGTTCCCTTTTCAACTCAATTTCTTACTGTCAGCTGTATGGTTGAAGTTCACTATCATTAAGTTATGTACAATTTCATGATTTTCCATCATATGTGTCGGTGTAAATACAACACAAGGGTTTATGCCCAAAGGATCAACCCAAAGACCAAGACTAAATGCTAAGTAAGGAATGTGCAATATATGCATTGAACAATAGGGAAAACCGAAGCCAACGCTCCGGTTACACTCAACTATTAAGGTTTTAGTACCCTTCCCTCTGGGTAGCACTATTTGATTGCCTAGCACTATTTGATTGTCTGAAAATCGACCCCTTGGCCAGCCAGCCACTGGGGCTTGTATTTACTGAGGCTTCACCCTGCAAGCACACATGTCACGCAAATCCCCTAACTGTTTCGAGCGCGTGGCCCGACTCACTGTACAACCGGGCCACGTGTAGACTGGCTAGTGACTCCTTAGCACGTTCCACCTGTTTTTCTGGTTATATATATGTATCGGATTAAAAGAAGCAATTACTGACTCATTTTAAATAATTGAAGTACCCTAAGCTGTTATTGACTGGCTAGTGACTCCTTAGCACGGCCCACTTTACCCTATGTTATTCACTTGTGTTCTTTCACATGTTAGAATCATAATTTTGTCAATGCACTTTTTCTGTCTTAATGTTGAGTATTTTGTATGCCTGGTATTTTTGGAGATCGTCTTCTATAGATGGTCTGCTTAGTGATCCCTCTGGTATTGACCAAAATTCTTCAAATAAATATTAGGAGAGGATCGGCCGGTAAAGTGGGCTCAATGATGCTTCTGAAATCACAACAAAGCATGCACACTCCGTACACCCAGGTTGATCTACACTTAGTTTAACTAGCCTATTTTTTTTTTTAAAAAAATCTCTCTGATATTTTTATCCCCTTGAGTGATGTAAGCTTTAAATCCACACACACGGAGTGATAGAGAAAACTTTTATACTTTATAGGATCCACTGCTTATGACTGAGGACATGCATGAAGAACGTCTCCAGGCAGTTGAAGCTTTTGGCAATGCCTTTGTAAGTCCAATGAAACTAATAAATATTTTCTGATGTTCTGCTATGAGATTCATGCATGTATTCCTTTTGAATCTCTGCTATTCATTTTGAAAGGAATTAATGCATCCTAGGGCACACATTGAAAAAACTGTGATATCTGGGCAGTGGGAATCTATTTTTAGAATAATAAATGCAAGCATATCCCTCATAGACCGTCCATCTTGAAATCATGATGATACATGCTGTTACACGGTAAAATTCCCGACATAGAATTTTCACCCTGTACGGCCTGCCTTAACGCCTTAAGACAGTCAGCCTTACCCTCAATGCCGTGGCAAGACACTTAACTGAGACTAGGAACGCAATACTTGAACACACACGTAGATATAGGCACACGACTTTACGGTCAACGACCAACCTTGTATTAATTCACAATTAATACACTAGGACTAATACACAACGTTCACAATGTCTAACACTTCCAAACACTCAGAATACAATGCTCTCACACATCTGGCCACAAAACTAGCAGTATGCCGCGGCCTATTTATAGACTGGACTGAGTCTAGCAGTTACAAGCCAACTGCCATAGCCGCTTAGTCTAAAGGGACACGCCTGTTCGCGAATGGCAGTTGCCAACCGCCCATATGCCGCAGCACCAGATCACCCCAATGGCACCTGTTCGCCCCAAGGCACCTGTTCGCCCAAAGCCGCCCTTCCCTTTCAGACTTGAGTCATGCCGCACCGAACCGACACGGCTCTTCAAGCTTGCACTCACTCCGCGGCCTAACCCAGACCACCCGCGAGCCAACTCTTGTTTTTCCTTGAGCTCGTGACCAACCCTCATTGCCTTACGCCCAGCTTGCCCAAGTCCCACTTGTCAACCGGCCAACCAACCCTCGTTGACACTCAAGCTCCCAATAGTCGTGACTGCCCCAAGGACAGCCACACCCCGGCTCAAGCCTGGCCACGCACCACACACTACCCTTGAGTTGCACACGTGCCACCTTGAGCCACTTGCCTTTGTCGTGCATCCAACCTGTTGTGCCGCATCTCGTAAGTCATGCCCCACATGCCATTGACCTTCACCAACACTTGGATCACATGCCGGACCAACACACCCATAGCCAACCTTGACCATGTCATGCCGCCCATGAATCGCACATGGTTTCTCGCAACGCCAACCGTTCTGCTCTCATACTAGGTCTAACTTGCCTTGTCGTGACTAAGTCCCGATGTCTTAGCCAAACTTTCACCTTTCCCGTTCCTTGCAAAGTCATGCCACACCATGCCTTGCCTTGGCGAAGCATCACCACGATGACTTTGGCTGCACCACATGCTCCGAAAGTCACCCTATCGAGCCAATGCCATGTCTCGATATAGACCCACCAAAAAAGCGGTCTAACATATGCCATCTTAATACTCCATCCGTCCCATAAAACTTGGCTAACTATCATTTTCTAACCGTCCCAAAAAACTTTTCCATTTCCATTTAAAGTAAGGAATATGTGCCTAAATTTATTTCTCCCTCTACACAAATTTCAACCACACAATTTTTACTTTATTAATCCATGTGTCAGTCAACTTTGGTCAAGTTTTGTGGGACGGAGGAGTATTTGTGTGCTTGTAGACAAATCATAAATTATCATTGTGGTGACAGTGTGACACCCTTTATCATTCAAGGCATCCTAAAGTTGGATGGGACTCCACCTTGCAATAATTTCATGCCACATGATATCATATTTGGTAATATGTGGCAGTCTACCCGTCTCTCTAGATAAATTGTGTTTATGCGTGTGTAAAGACAAGTAAATTAGTAAGGCATTATTAAAAGACTGCTAATACTGAGGTTCCTAACCTTTCAAAACTAATGACATGAAAATTTAAAGATAAAGTTCTATGATAAACAATCAAATATTATATTGTATACTCCGTATAAAATATACATGCTTTTTTAATGTAATGCTTGTTGCTAATAATAGTACATTTGACTGAAAAGAAAGTGATGTTTCAAAATTTCAAATCGCTACATATCACACACACATCATGTGTTGGTCATACGAGTGTATACATATATCAGTATCCGGTGCATAGAACATGTGATAGAGATCTACATAGTACTAGTAATAAGTACGGAGTATAATACTCCCTCCGTCTCGCAATGAACTTCTCGCTTTCCTTTTTTGGATGTTCCAGAAACAAGTTTCTATTCCTTTAAATGGCAAGTTAATCTACATCAAAACAGTGTCAAACAGTGCAAAACAGTGTCAAACAGTGCAAAACAGTGCCACTCAGTATCAAAACAGTAAAATTTACCCCTAAGTTTATTTTCTTAATACGTGTGTAGGTCAAACCGTGAAGTTCATTGTGGTACGGAGGGAGTATTAGTCTTTTAATATTGTACAAATAAAGGGTTTGCCCTGAATTAAATAGCAAGTGGGCTGGCCCATATGGAAAAGAATAAATAGGAGTCGGGAGGAATAGAATTGGCAGGCAGAACTTTAGACCTTGGGCTGGGATTTCTAAGTGCCTAACCCTTGTACCGTTCCATTTCTGTTCTTCGATTGGTATCAGAGCACTCGCTCCTTGTGATTGGAATAGAGAGGCGACTTCAGTAACACCTCCGTTTCTGTGTGGAATGGTCAAAACGAGGGCGAATATGGAGATTCAGATGGATAATCTGGAGCGAAACATAGTGGAGATGCGGGGGAGGCAGGAGGCGCAGGAGCGAAGTCTGATTGAGATACGATCAGCAATGAACGATCATCGTTCAGCAATAGAGAACATGGCGGCAAACATCACCAGTCAGCTAAAGGCGATGAAAGAACAAATTCAGGCGTGAGGGAGATCGCTAGTGGTTACTACAAGGTCCAAGATGTCTTCACTAGTCGCTTCGCACCCTTCCAGTTCTCCGTCTCAACTTGTTCCTCATAGATCGTCATCGCGAGAGGTATCGTCTGCGCAGGTTTCTTCTCAGTCGAGATTATTTTTTTCGCGGACGACAACTGCTACCAGTTCGCCATCTTCACCTCGAGCAGAGTTCACCAGTTTGCAAGCTTCGTCGTTCACAGCTCTACCAGCGTTGCCGTGAACACATCTACCTTGTTCGCAGGTTTCATCCCATATTACATCTTCTCACGCGTGGCAGAGCTAGTCGCTATTGTTTCCTTCCAGCTCGCAGTCGCGAACGGCTCCTCTCAGCTCGCAGGGTTGGTCGCAATCGGCTTCTCACAGTGCGCAAGTTGAGTCAGCGTCTATCCCTCAGCCGTATGTGAGTCAGCGACAACTTCCCTCTAAAGGTGCGTTCATCGATGGTGATGAGGGAGGGGAGGAGAAAACTTTTGTGGGGACTCAATCATCTACTGCAAAGGAATATGATGCTGCTCATAAGAAAATTGCTAGTTCAAATATTTCTGAATTGGAGAACCAAGTGGTTCCTGAAATCTCTATAGGTACGGAAAATTCAGCTTCACGTATAGGAGACCTGGTTACATCTGCAGCCCTTGTGGATAGAACTCAAAGTCCTAAGATAAGTGTAGCTAATTTCACAGACTGCTCAACGGAAAATTATTACTATCTCTGGACAAGTAGATAAATCTCCTGCTACCCTGTATGCTGCTGCTATTGATGGAGTTAATAGCAAAGCTAGAGAGGCAGCAATCATCAATGCCCTGGAAAATGGATTACAGTCAGACTTTAAACATGCTGCTAACAATATGCATCAGCTAGTAAATGATTTTGCACGATCTTATGAAGAGGGACGATTAGGGAATCTGGAGAGAATCAATGCTCTAGATTTTGGTACCTGGACTGCACAAATAGAGGATACTTAGAAGGAAGCAGAGGGGTACATTATGAAGAATTATGCATTGTTGGTTTATTGGAAGAATTATGCTGATTACAGGGCACAGATTAGTGTGATGGATAAAATTGTTGAGGTTCAACCAAAGTTTCATGATGCTGCAAGTAATCTAGAGCAAATCGGTCCATTTGAAGAATGTATTCAATTGTATGATACTGGCGGGAAGATGGGTGCTTGTACATGGGAATAGTATCTTGAGTTTCTGCAAGAAAACCAACTGTGGAAGTCTTACATTGAAGACAGGAATTCCTGTTCCATACTTAAGAGAACTACTGCTGGTATAGTAGATCTCCTTGTTTGCTTGCTAAACCCTTTTATGTCTTCCTTTTCATATGAGGTAGGCAAAGACTTGAAAGAGGAAGAAGTTGAAAGGTACAGAGAGAAGTTTGCATCTAGTACAGAGACATGGGTTGTGATTGAGTACTTGAAAGTTACTGAAGCGAATGAACCTTCATTAGATATCTCTTCTGCTAGGGTAATGTCTGTGTTATCAAAAGATTTGGTATTGAAGTTCCCTGTCCAGCAATCAGTCAAGTATTGGGAGGGCAAAGGTGCAAGAATGAAGTGGAAGTGGAAGATCATAGCTGTTTCATATCGCCCACCTTGAGGACAAGGTGGTTGTCAAAGGGGGAGTAATGATAGAGATCTAGATAGTACTAGTAATAAGTATAATATTAGTCTTTTAATATTGTACAAATAAAGGGGTTGCCCTGAATTAAATAGCAAGTGGGCTGGCCCATATGGAAAAGAATAAATAGGAGTTGGGGGGAATAGAATTGGCAGGCAGAACTTTAGACTTTGGGCTTGGATTTCTGGGAGAGATAGGCTGCTCTAAGTGCCTAAACCTTGTATCGTTTCATGTCTGTTCTTCGATTACGTTCTTAATAAACACCGATTTCCATCTTTCGATCTTGGTGCCTAACAACATGTTATTGTATTTCTTTATTTCAAAGTGGAAAGGGATACTTAGGAGTTGCTTAATATTATTTCTTTTTCAGTAGCCGTTTCAATCCTACACTTATCTTACAGTCTCTACGTCTCTACGTAGGCACAATTCTTTCTTTGATATGAATATCTTGTATTTTGATGATGAATTTGTACACTTTTACTTTGCAGAGCTTTTCAGCCAAGTTGGAAAAAGAGGTTTTGTCATCAGGTATCAATGTCTTGCTCTTGCACAAGACGGCTTACACATCCTTTTACATGAAGAATTTAGCATGATTACTTATGGATTCATAGTGAAGTAAAATATGGGTTTAGTTTATGCTTTACTCATATGTGCGTGGTTTGGTGGTTCTTCAGTGTGGGTATTTTCTTAATTTCATAAGACAAGAAGATAGTTTTTGGCTTTTTGCTTGAGAAAAAAACTTGATGACATTTTGGCGATGAAAAATCATGCTGACTGAAATACTTTGTTTTATTTCTTTAATTGCTTGAAGTCTTTGAGTATTGAAATACCTTTAGAATTATTGTATCATATTCATGTTTTTTTAAGTTTATTAGGGTGTGCATTAAATTATCCTTAGCTAAGTTCCATTATCATGTATTGTGATCTCAGTGTGTCTGTGTGTGTAATCAATACTGATAAAGGATAATCTCATAATCCTATTATCCTATGTGAGCCAGATATGTCTGCATTTAAAGCAGCAAATCCAGATGCTGTATTTGAAGATTTTATCAGATGGCATTCACCTAGAGACTGGGAAATCAGTGATAATGAAGCAATGGGAGGGTCAAGTGAAGAGTGGCCTCCTCAAGGAAGACTTTCAGGAAGAATGTCAGATAAAGGGAATTCCTGGAGAATAATTTGGAGCGAAGCCCTCCCTTTGCCAGCTTCTGAACAGAAACCTCTTCTGGATCCAAACCGTGAAGGTGAAAAGGTACTCCAATTATTACATGTTTGCATCTCGATATTAACTTTCCCATTTTTCCGTGTTCCTCATTGAGAAAAACTAGGTTGGTGGTGGACATTTGTAGTTCTACCTCAAGGATTTTAACAAAATTTCTCTTTTGAGTTTCGGTGTTATAGTTCCTCAGTTTACTTCAAAGCTCTAATTGTACATTTATTTACTTCATTTTCTAGACGCGCAGAAGATACTGTCATTCGTTGCTTTATAAAATATCACAGATTGCATGTCGTGGGTAGTTCAGTCTTAGATGAAAAGGAGGAGAATAATTTTTTTATTTTCTCAGGGTATGGTTGGATCTAGGAAAATGCCAGAGCAAGGAAAAATGCTGAAGACAGTTATTGTTGGGAATTATTCTGGATAAGTGCAGTGAAAAATGAAATATGATTCTGGAATAAGTGCAAGAAAAATGAATTATTCTGGATAGATTTCACATATATTTCGATTCTATAGTCTTTACGTAATACTTATGAAGCACATAAACTCTTGGGAAGGAGTATGCTTGTGTTTCAGAACCTCTAGTGACTCTTCAAACACTCCAATTCTCTTGTTTTTCAAATGAAAAATGACATTCCCCATTTCATAATATAATACTTCCTCCGTTCCAAATTAGTTGTCTCACTTGGATTGCGAGGCTTCCCCGAGGGTAAAACTAATTTTTTCTACATAACACTTTGTATGTATACAAGTATTAGTAATTAAAATTTTCATGTTTGGAAATTGAGCTATAATTTCTATTTATTGAGTTCAATATTTCCTTCTAAAATTTCCTCAAATTATCCTTTAGAACTACCTCTCTATATTCTTCCCCTTGTATTTTCTTTGCTCCATACGGATCCTTAAGGTTTATGAAAGATCTGAAGCTGGTTTTTTATTCAGTGAGAATTGTAGGCATTTGCTTTTCTTAGAAAATAGAAAATTTTGAACCGCATATCTAATGTTTGCATCATTCTAATTGCAACAGGCTCTTCATTATTTAGAAACATTGCGACCTAATCAGTTGTTGGCCCAAATGGTTTGTACTGCTTTCAGAGCGGCAGCTGACACACTGAAGCGTACAACTTATGGAAGTTTGAAGCATATGTCAACCAAAATTGACCAACTCTACCTCACCTTGGCATCAACCTTGAGATGCTTCCAAAGTAATATTCTTTCTTTCCTTCCAATTCTCTTCTAATTTTCCTCCCTTCTTTATTTCCCTCATAGGTTGACTATTTTCTATGTTCCAAAGTGGACCCTTAACGTTGTAGTTGAAGACTTGTGGCAGCTTTCCAACAGTTCTTTGCTTTTGGCCCCTTTTTTCAGAAAACAGTCTTTCAGTTGATCTTGAAATTATTGATGACCTGAACCGGCTTTCTTCCATCTTTGAACATGTGGAGAAGTTGGTCACCTTTGCTGCTTCTCTACATCGTAAGTTCATGCAGGCCCCACGCTTATCTGAAGCAATTTTCATTGACTATTTTAACTTCAATATTCCTAGAATGGGAACTGCCTCAGCTGGAAATTATACCAAGGTTAGGCATACATCTTTCCTTGTTTTTATCAACTATTATCTCTTGCTCGTCTTTGATTGGACTGTTGGAGTGCTTTGAAGGGACGTGGATGAACGTTGAGGATACTGTGTGTTTCGTTGTGGGAGTTGGGGATAGCTTATCGTGTTTGGGATAGCTTATTGTATCAGTGCTTTCTCATTAAAGTGCTTTTCTAAAGAGAAAAATACTAATCTGCTGCTGTTTTTAATAAGCACATTCTTTTACTGTTCAAAACACTTTTTCTATTTTGTTGGCTTGTTGAAGAAAAAGTACTTTTCTTCATCACAAAAGAACATATTTCTGAAAGCAAGTCATCCGTAACGCTCTCATTGACTCATCCCAATTCCCAATTCTTCATCCCCCAACCCCCCAAATTGGGAGATTTTGGGGAAGCTATGTACTTTTATCTTCATTCCTTTCTTCATAAATATAAAAAATTATTTATTATATTTATGCAAAGGACATGCATACCTCCTAACTATACCTCTGAGCTTGCATACACCCAACTTTTTTTGTGTCTAGTTGTTTCAATCATTTTTTTAAATAAATTTTCTGAAAATGTTTTATGATTGGTGGTATATTGATTTTTTTTTTGAAAAACTGTTCTTTTCTAGACAAGGAAATACATGTCCCAAATTTACACTTTCTGTGTCTAATTCGTTTGAAAAAATTGTTCAGAGATAGATATGCCCCTTTAAAGTATAGTCATGGAGTATATATTTGTTTCTTCTCCGTTGTTACTAGTCCTGGACTCGGGCCGGGACCGGCCCGAGGGTTGGACGGGTCTGGTTCCGGCCGGGCCACCCGCCCGGGTCACGGGTCGGGCCGGGCCGGTTAAAGTATTTTTTTGTTTTTATAATTTATATTTTATTGTTTATAGTTTTATACAAGTATTAAAAACAAACTTCAATTGCATTTATTTGAAATGAAATAGGAACTACATTTGAAAATTAAAACAAACTTCAAGAGACAAACATTTTGTAAATTGTAATCAATCGGAACTTCCTGCACCTCCCGACCCTTTGGCTTTGTCACATGACTTCATATGCTTCATTGTCATCCCGTATCCGCCTGAAACCCCCATGCTACATTTTTCCCCGCACCATTTGCAAGTTGCGTACCACATCCCGGTCTTCGGGTCCTTCTGCTTATCAAAATTATACCGTATAACGGCATCTTGATTTTCCATCTCAAGTATAAAGTAGATATATAAATAATAAATATAATATATTGGAGAATAAGAGAATTATAGAGTAGAGAGTTAAGAATAGGATTTAGGAAGAATTGGAGAAGAGATATGAAAAAATGTTTAAGATTAGGAGTATTTATAGGTTTTTTTACCCCCCACCCCCACCCCCAACCCCCCCGGACCCCCCCTGCACCCCACCCAACGGCTATATAGCCGTTTGGATTGTCCCCAGCCCACCCCCCAAGGCCATAATGGCTAGTAAGTATTTAACAATTTTTTTTTAAAAAAATAGGACAGTTGGACCCGGACCCGGGCCCGACCCGGCCGGGCCGGGTCACATTTTTCCGGAACCGTGCCCGCCCCGCCCATTCCCACCGGTTCGGGTCTACACCCGGTCCCGGACCGCCAGACCGGGCCGGTCCCGGGCCCGCACAGTAGCGGGCCGGGCCGGGTCACGGGCCGGGTGGCCCGAACCGAATCCACCCCTAGTTGTTACACATAGAGTACACATTTTTATTATGTAAAGCATATTTTCTCTAAGGCTAGTGTTGATTATATATTTTTATTACAATGAATATGATTTTTTAAGTATGCTTTTAAAACAACAATTCCTCCTCACTGATCCATTATACTAAACAATTACACCTTTTTGAACCCATTTATTCTCTTCTCCTCTGGTCTCCCCATTTCTCCTCCATTCCCATTGAACCAAACATAGGCTTAGCCAAAGGGTGGGTCTGGCGCAACTGTGGAGTCTCAAATGTCTCATACCTTTTGTCATCAAGGTCCAGGTTTCGTTTCAGTTGAAGAGTGTCGGACATTGGCTCAATATGAGTGAACAAACCCATAGTAAGTATTGGACAATCCTTGCCTTTTAAGACCTATTTTCAGGTTGAGGTAGGTCCCACACTAACTCTTTACATATCTGCTTCCGTGCGGAAAAGAAAGGCAAAGACGGCCTAGATATTATAATGAATGCTTCTTTTCTATACTTTGAACTGAACCTATTGATGGTGGGATAGGAGTTCACAAAGAAGCAACGAGTAAGGCGCCGTGAGAGAGAGGTTGTTGCAAACATGTTCACCCCGCCCACCGCCAACCAGTCATGGAGGAAAGTGTTGAGCATGGGGAATCTACTTAATGGGAACGAACCAATTCTAAGAGAAGTCATATTTTCCAAAATAGAAACAATAAGAGGAAGTTATTATGCTACAAATAATACTCCCAAAAACTGTGGGCAGGAGGATATAGAGACACATAGGATGTATATATGTGGAACGTCAAACGATCTAAGTGTAGCACTTGCTGTTTCCTCTTGTGACTAATTCTGTCTTGTAATGAAATTTGTACTTTCAGTTTCGTCGACTTGTAAATCATGTTCATTTCCTTCATGCACACAAAAACCGGTTCACCTCATATTTCTGTCTATAAATATTATGAAACTTTTCTACTGTATGTGTCACATTCAATTTTTTGGATGAAACGTAAGTATATTAAAAACTCGCCCAAAAATAACATCATTACAATGTATAAGAACTGCCTAAGTTCGCTAAACTAGGCAAAGATAGTTATCTACAGTTACTCCCTGCCTTGCAGCAAGCCGGCAAGGGATGGGAAGAGAGTTTTATTAGTCAAATCTCAAAAGTAATCACACTGCCCAAACTAGCACTTGACAGGCCCTGGCATAGTAACAAATAAAATCCAGTCAAAGTAACCAACTGAGGGAATGTTTGCAATAGCTTTAAAAAAGACTTCTCGACTTTTGACTTAAAAAGTTAAAATTTGTGTTTTGAAATAATAACTTCTACGTAAAAAAGTGTTTCTCGACTTTTGTGCAAAGTGTTTTTTACCTTTTCTATTACATAAAAACATTTATTTTAGTAAACATTATCAACTTTTACTTTTCAAAATTAGGGGTGGTCATAATGGTTTGGTTTAACCGAATCGTACTAAACCGAACTAAATTGAACCGAAATTGGATCATATGCAATTTGGTTTGAGTTTGGTACTATTTCTTCCAAACTATATTAAACTGAACTGAAATCGATAAAAACCGAACAAAATCGAACCGAACTAAAGAAATTCAAAAAAATCTTCATATATTATTAAAAATTAACAAATCCAAACCGAACCAAATCAAACTGAACCGAAAAATAGTACGGAGTATGGTTTTTGTTTGGTAATAATTCTTCCAACTCGTTCCAAACTAAACCGAATCGAAACTGAACGAAAACTGATATGCCCATCCCTAAAATAAATTATGGAATAGATTACTAACCTCGTTAGATTGAGCTTGAAGATCTATAGGGGGTATCGTAGTACATTGGGAAGTCTCCGTGGAAAGGAATATAATACGGGAGTAGTACTCTTAAAATGGTTGATAAGTAGAAAGTTTGAAAGGGGATCAAGACAGAAAACAATAGAATATACATGCGGAATGTAGGCATACTATTTTAAAAACTTTTCTTTCATGAAATCACAAAAATAATAAACACAAGTTTCGAGAAGTTTCGGAAAATTCTTTGAAAGCACCGGCGAGATTAACAACTTCTATAAAAAATTGTTTACTATAGGTGTATAAACATGAGAAACAGATGAAGTAGTGTTATAAAAAAGAACTAAAACGTTGCAACGATCTCAACTGGTTCTATATTATAATTACAAGTTTCTTTCATAAAAGTAGAGAAATGGTCATTAAATTTTTAGGAAACACAACAATTAAATTATAAGTATTGTTCGAATGAATAGAGAGATTTAGGAAATGCACAATACTTAAGACGTTTAGGATCTGTTTACTAACATAGATATTTTTCAGTTTTCTATTTCTGTTTTCCATTCTTCAATTTTCTATTTTCATTTTTCAGTTTTTCTATCTCCATTTTTCTGTTTTCATTTTTTAGTTTTTCAAATCTGAAAATATGTTCATCAATTTTTTTCACCCGATTCTGCGACCGACCAGAAAACCGAAAGTACGATATCAATCCGGAAACAAATCTAGTGCAACCCAAGTAGGGTTCCAGGTCCCACATGTAGGACAATCTGGAATGAAACTGGCCGGTCCCGGTCGATCTCAACAGTTAGTTGGACGAATTATTTCCCCATTTCCCTGTTAGTTGACAACTATATGACTCTTTTAAAGCTATTCACTTTAAAAAAGATTTCGAAAAACTGAGTGAGATTGAAACACCAGGTCATTAACAGACTGGATCGGACTGAGATTGCTCGGTCATCGACCGGACCAGACAAGGACCGTCGAGTCGATGACTGGACCAAATAGGGACCATCGGGTCGTTGACCGGACCGGACTGGAACTGACATCAGAGTGGGATCGGATCTAGCGCTAGGTGTTAGTATGCTAATGCATTACAGCAGCACTACAACATTCACGTTTTCCAAATTTGGAAAACTAGTAAAAGTCACTTCTCTAATTCATTAAGGAAAACAAAGATATGTCTCATCTTTTTTTTGTTTTGGAAAACGATTTGATAAATGCATTTTTTGTTTTCCATTCTCTATGTTTTCTCTTTTCCTGTTTTTCAATAATTTTCTTTGGTAAATACGTTTTCAATTTTCCAGTTTTCTGAATAACCGAAAAATGTCTCTGTTAGTAAATAGGTCCTTAGATTTCAAATTAACACACCATTGCATTTTAAGTTGGGTATTACCTCAAATCATTCTAATAGCCCACTTAACTTTCTCCATTACATTTCCTAATGCGGCTAAGTCGTCTTTCACATATGAATTAATAATATAGCATGCACAAGTAACCAAAATGATATGAGTAAATCACATAGTACTCTGTGTAAGTTTTGGGCCGCCAAAACAATTTCTTGCTTGAGAATAAAAATCTTGTGGTGAAGCATATTCCTACCCAGTTACAGTTGGCGGATATCTTTACCAAGAACTTATCCAATCAGCGATTTGAGTTTTTACGTTCCAATTTGCACATGATTTCCCCTGCAATAATTGAGAGGATGTAATAATGTAATATTTAAGGATTACTTTATAATAATCCATAACTCTGTTTTATTATAAATACAAGACTAAGGCACCCAATAGGGTAAATCATTATTCTCCCATTTATATTTTCGTATAAACATCTAAGGAGTAATAAAATGACCACGTAAAATTTGCACGATGAAGAAGTGGTAGAGTCAAATTTGGGGGCGGGTTAAGGAATGAGGAGTACAGCAGCTTCATTTGGTATGCCCAAATCCACGAAGCCATCATTACGGCAAGACGTGTATGTCGGGAACCCGTGACCCAAAACCAAACAAAATTTTTTCTCTCCTAATAACCCATTTGCACTCCAACCGAGTTCACACAATTTAAGTGACTCTCTACTCTAGTCTCTAATTCTCTATGAGATTAAGAGAGCAGTGTAATTTAAAATATTTGATTTCTGGAAGTGGTTAAGTGTCACACTTTTCACATTAGCAATAAAGTGAATTTGAGATTTTTTTTCTTCTCAAATGATAATCTTCTATTCTTCTAACTAATCTAACCGGCAAATTATACCGGATCAGCCCACCATGCGCATTGCGCATGGTGTGTCGATCCCCATACGATACCGTTTTTGTCTTCCCAGCCTCCCATCAATCTAATACTCTGTATTATATAAGTTTTCTTTCTTTTTTGCTCCAGGTTACTAGATTCTTTCTCTTTATTTTTCTTTTCTATTTTCTTCAATTTTTTTCTCCTTTACATAAAAATACTAAAAATTTATTTGTGACTTTACTTATCTTTATCATTAACTAATTAAACACAATTGAATTTATATTTTTCTCTATCAAATCATTACAAACTTTTATTAATCCACATTAAAATAAGTATGTTGTACTATCGTATTTCATAATCATACATTTTCGGGAAAACTGTCAAATAGGTCCTCGAACTTTCATAAAAAGGTCAATTAAGTCCTTCTATAGGAGGTTCTGTCCGGCCATCGCGATTTGGGGCAGTTCTCGGTAGAATTTTTTGATGAAAATTTTTGAGCATCTCATTCACCAAGTCTTGTTTACTCATACCAAATTTCAGCTAAAAATTCAATCGGGAACACATTCAAATTAATTCGAGAATGCAAAAATGCGCAGTTATCTTCAACAATTAATTTGAATGTGTTCCCGATTGAATTTTTAGCTGAAATTTGGTATGAGTAAACTAGACTTGATGAATAAGATGCTCAAAAAATTTCATCAAACAAATCCACCGGGAACCTCCCCAAATCGCGACGAGCGGACAGAGTCTCATATAGAAGAACTTAATTGACTTTTTTATGAAAGTTCGAGAACCTATTTGACAGTTTTCCCTACATTTTTTCTATTTTTTTATCTTCAACTGAAATTAAAATAGAATATATTTTCTCTTAATATTTTTTATATTTCATGTTCATAAATTTTTTCTATAATATATTTCTTATCTCTTTGTAAAAAAAATATATTTCTTATCTCTTTGATATGTTTTTAATGTTTTTAAGACATTAAATTTGATTTTTTCGATTTAAATTTCATAAAACATGAAATTATGTTACATTTTTCATATGTGTGAGTTATGTATATGAAGATACATCTTCTTATAGGCGAGTTACATCTTGTTGTGCATGCGTTACATTTTCGTATGTGCGAGTTACATTTAGATTTGCCTCAACAAGTTACATTTTGCATACACCTAATTTAGATTTATCATCAACACGAGTTACATTTTTTATAACACGAGTTATATCACAAAATAAACTCCAGCTATTGAAACCAAAAAATCAATTTTTTGCAAACAAAAATGATTTTTTGTTTTTGAAAAAAAAATGATTTTCGGCAAAAAAATGAATATTTTTGTCAAAAAAAAATTATTTTTCTTTGAAACTTTTTTATGGACATAATACAAAAACAAAACATATTAACTATTTTTGTAAATAATTTAAACAATTAGACTCCTTGTTTTTATTGTTTACATTTGATAATATATGGAGTTACATCTTCTTATACGCGAGTTACATCTTTTTATGCGTGAGTTACATCTTTCTATACGCGAGTTACATTTAGACTTACCTTAACAAGTTACATTTTTCATTCATCTAAGTTAGATTTTTGATCAAAGTGAGTTACATTTTCTATAACATGAGTTACATCGCAACATAAAACACTGCTATTGAAACAAAAAAATCATTTTTTGCAAAAAAAATATATAATTGTTTGGTAAAAATCGATTTCTTTGGCAAAAAAGTGATTATTTTTTTTATGGCCTTCATATTAAAAACAAAATATATTCACTATTTAACTAAACTCATGCTATAGAAACAAAAAAATGATTTTTTTGCAAGAAAAAATTAATTTTTTGGTAAAAAAATGAATTTAAAGAAAAAACATTATTTATGGCCTTAATATTAAAAACAAAACATATTCACTGTTTACGTAAAATAATTGAACAATTAGACTCCTTGTTTTCATTGAAATCAAT